TGAAAAACGGAAATACACGCTGCACTTTAAAGGATTTGTTGGTTTTGAAAAAAGGAAAAGGCAAAAAATGAAGAATGTAAGACATGAATGTGAAGAAATAAAACCGTGTCGTAAAACGAAGAACGTGAACATACAGCGTGTCGTGATTAGACATTGCTGGAAGAATGAACTATTATCTTACAGCAACATTACATTTTTCAATCATTTGACAGGTATTTTGTACTGTCAATGTACATTATGTATAATAGAATACAAGTAAATACTGGTACAATCTTTGCCTCTCACTGGGCCTTCTTGATCATCTTCTCAAAGAAAGTCAGAACCTGCGCCAGGTGAAAGAGCGACAGCCGCGAGCTTTATCATGAACGTGAACTGCACTATAAAAAATAGGTGTTTAGATCGTTTAGGTAACTAAACGGATTTTGTTTAGAAACAAATCGTTACGTTTAATATCTACACAATTTCCATTTAGTCGCCTTACTCAGTACCGTTTAGATCTTAAACATTTACTGTTCAATACACATATAAAGCAAATATTAAAAGGAAGTCTTAAAGAACTTATTTCAAATTAACAAAATATTAATATAGAGAAAATACTATGGATATAGTTGTCGGGAATATAACCTCTTCACTGAAATCTTTACGATTTTACTCTTTCTTGGGTGATTTAAGTAACAGATAGATCCCAGTATAAAAAACACGCTCAGTGACCATAAAAATAACCCAACACATATCTTAACATACAGTGGACTTCTACAACTGCATTTTCTATTGTGTAGCTGTTATAAAACTAGTTTGAATTCTTAACGCCCTCATTCTAAACGAAGTGTATTTAGTTTGATTAAACATGCATGTTTACTTTCTAAGCATCATAGTTTAGTTTATATATGTAAATGAACATAGTGGTTTAGTTTCTAAACACATATCGTTTATACATGTATTTACAAAGTATCCCAGAAGTTATTATATTAAAGAAACAAGTGGTACTGTCTCTATTTTACCAAAAACTAATGTGAATAAATAGTTTTGGACACATTCGTCATGTATGATTTAAAGGCTCATCACCTGTTTAGTTTCTAAACGACTAATGTGTAGATTAAGAGTTATCCCGCCTGTGACCTTGCCCTTTCGACGCGTCCTTTTTTACCCTTGACGGAGACGCCATCTTACACCACAGTGAGGATCTTCCAGGTGATTTTTTCCATTTTCTATTTTGGCAGTTAAAACACATATTTGGTCAACATGTAAGGCAATACATTGAATCAGTACAATGTAGGAATATGTAGAATGAAGATTTACATACATTTTTTGTAAATACAATGCATTTGACGTTGATTAAGAAAGCAGCGGTGTTGCTACTTGTGGAATTTATTCTTCTCTGGTGGGGTGCATGGTCTTGTAGGTCTATCACAGAAAAACTTGTTTTTGCCTGTCCTAATTCTTATGTTATGGAAAGAATGGATAATTTTACTTGTTCAATGTGTTTCTACGCCACAAGTAATCCTTTAAACTATGAACAACACCTTGTCCGATATCACAAACATGACCGAAACTTTGTTGTGACATGCACTGCAGCATCTTGCTCGTATTCTACAAAAGGTTTGTTGACTTTCAGAAAACACATGAATAGAAAACATGCAAAATCCCAAATAGATATTCAGGAAGGCGAGGAAACAATAGATGATGAAAACGGTTTGAACGAAACGGATCTTTTTATGCATGAAAATGAGCAAGATGTACAATATCTTTCTTTCTTTGAAATAGTTCACTGAGATAAATTATGTTCTCGCACTGCAAACAAAACACAAGCTTTCAGAAAACGCTGTGAACTGTGTTATTGCTGAAACACAGCATTTACTTTCCCAAAATTTACAAAATGCAAAGCCTGTCGATAGTAAGCTAGTGAAAACCTGTTCTTCTCTTTGCATTAAGAAGTCTTAAGATCTTGCAACTTGACACAAGACTGACAGTTTTTGATAGATAAAGTCTATATGTATTCTGAAAATACATCTAGTTTCTAAACTCCCATGAGAACAGAAAGTAAATGAATTTTTACTCCTGTGTGTATATTTACATAGTGTGCAAAAATACCCATGTAAGCAAATTTCGGCATGAGAATAGGGCTATTTTTAAAAGAATCAATTACATTGCCATTTTAGTGAGCTTTATTAGATAGATTGACAACAATGCCCCCCCTGACCACTTCACTGAATTTTTATGCTGATATATTTATGTACCATAAGCTCAGGAACCTAAACATACATCTATTCATATATTGCAGATTTTTATGGAGATCAAAGTAATGAAAGGTGGGGAAATTTGGAGGTCAGTGGAAAAATCAACAAATGATTTATTCAACGCCGTGAAGGAAATCATGCCAATAATCATTATTATTATCATATTTTATCACGCATATATGTTGGTTGCAGGAGTCTCCTAAACAAATTGACGAGGAAGCCGAGAAAACAAAGTTGCCAGTAGGGCCAATGCTTCAGATCTTTATAAACGACAACTGGATAACTGAGGCAATCATACACGCCGATGGGGTAAACCTTCCTGTCATAAGGAACTTCAGGAAGGCAGTGGTCCAGCTGCTGGCCATATACTATGTAGCTTGGCTGGATTACCCGAGGCAGTATGCACAGATGTTAGGCGTTATGCAAGAACTCTTTTTCAAGGAAACCTTTGGTTCAAAAACAAAAAAATGTGTTCACTTCTTGAAGAAAGTTGAAGCATGCATGATTAACTAGACTAGATTGACATGTTTCCTAATGGCAAAATAAAATGTTTAATTCTACTTTTCTTTTTTAAAAATGTGTATATCCCAGTTATGTACTTTTCATAGGTATGAAGACATATATTGATTCTAGCTTAATTCAGTTTAAAAGGCGACCGTTTAGGCACATTTAGTTTTCTAAACGCAGTGTTTAATACAAGGTGTTTAGTAACTAAACATGTATATTTAGAAACCTAAACGTTGGTGTTTAGAAACTAACAAGTAGTGTTCAGAAACAAAACGCTAAACGCGTTTTAAAAGTGGAGACATTTTGCCGTTTAGTTCACTGTTTAATCACTAAACGATCGTTTTTTCTGTGTGAGATTGGAATGGAAAGGCGAGACCTCCGACTAGAATATATAAACCACAAGCATTGTCTAACAATGGAGCATGCCGAACTCAAGGAACTAAAACAATGCAAGAAGAGATGGAGAAACAGGCGGAGGTGGAGCAGATAAGAAGCTGGAGGAGGAGCTCAAATCCTTCCATTAGCGTGCAACCCTCCTTGGGGCCCAATCTCTGACCTGTCAAGACACAGGGAAGTTTCCCAGTCATAGCTCCTCCAGCCCATCCCAAAAAGGCACAAAGATCGTACACCGGAAAGACCAAAAGCAAAATTCCAGACAAGATCCAGCCTGTAAGGAACAAGAGGATACTAAGAGAGGCCAAAGTGTATTGAAACAGTCACTCAGATATATTATATTATATTATATTATATTATATTATATTAAATTGGGGGGGGGACCTCATTCACTATAGCGTATTAACATGAAATAGTGTAGCTATTTTTTTTTATCAGAATTATAATATATGTAAAATTTAAATTATGTTATTTCTTCTTCAAACTGCAGAATTACTTTGTTTACCGGGTAATTCAATTTTGTTGGGTGATTTGGAGCAACTTTACATTTGATCAACAAATTCAGCATGCACATCTGTTTCACAACAAGTGTTTACTGAGTCTACTAATCATGTTGTGGTACTGCTGAAGTGAGTGTACTGAGGTGAGGTGAGGCGAAAAGGGGTTTAACGTTGCGTCCAAGATTATTGCACTTATATAGCGACGTGCATGCACATGTGTGTGGCTGCTTGTACTAGTCAGGACTAATGCCGATTTATAGTGCTAGCCCACTGAGATACCATGCCGCAGTTTAACATGAATACCCCACTCATACACAGTATACTGACTCCGAGCCGACCAGTCCTTGTTTTAGCCCCTTAATGCCAGGCACCAGACAGGGTAACAACAAGTACCATCTTTTAACGTTGGTATGATGCGGCCGGGCATCGAAACTTGGACCTTTGGCTCTCCTGCTGAGTGAGTATGGTTTAACGCCACTTTTAGCAATATCACAGTGGAAGGAGGGGACACCAGAAATGGGCTTCACACATTGTACGCATGTGGGGAAGCGAACCTGGGTCTTCAGCGTGACAAGCGAACGCTTTAACCACTAGGCTACCCCACCGCCCTTTGCAGTGCTAAAACGAGTGTACTGATTCTGTGGTACTGCTGAAGTGAATGTACTGATCATGTGGTTCTGATGGTTGGTTGGTTTGTGGTTTTACGCCCCTCTCAGCAATATTCCAACTATATGATGCCAGTCTGTAAATAATCGAATCTGGACCAGACAATCCAGTAATTGTATCATGAGCATCAATCCACACAATTGGGATCGATGACATGCATCAACCAAATCAGCGAAGCTCGTTTCGGCACATGCCACGAAAGCCACGATCTGCTTGAAGTGTTTTCCACAGAGTGTGTGGCGTTTAAACGAAGTGTTTGTGACATAATGAATCTTGGGATAGCAGTTTTTTCTAAAGACTCTCAGTCTTATTTTAATGACGTAAACGTGGTGATTTAGGCAAAAGGAAAGATTACTCACCAAAACGTTTGTATATTAACAACAACTTTCAAATCATAAGGGCTTGTCAACTGTTTGATTGGCATTCTATAAGTTGGTGAATAAGTAAGAAAACATAGAACTTTATGGATAACAACTTCTGGTTTATTGCATATAGCAATGTTTCGATGGAGATTCTTACACCATTATCAAACTGGAGTGATAACGGTGTAAGAATCTACATTGAAATGTGCTTTATGCAATAAACAAGAAGTTGTTATCCATAAAGTTCTATGTTTGTTTTTTTACAGGCTTGTCATGTCTTCAAAGCAAATGGTCCAAAATCACACACTCTGACTGCTGAAGAAAGTCAATATCTGTGAAATATCAAACCTGCTGTATACAAAGTTGATTTAAGATACATAAGAATGCTGACCCAGCCGTTCCTCCTTAACATCTGTATGCAGCACTATTATCTGTCACAGGACAGTGTTACTGTTCATCTCCAAGACAGTTCAGTATACTTCATCACATTCATGTTCTCTCAAGGAGTCCAGCATAGCAATATGTTCACAGGCCATGGTACCAAGAGTAAAGTGGCAATCCCTTTAACTTCTGCACTTAATCTTGATTGCTCCTCAAGAAACATGAATGATCATTTCCATAAATAGACAAATACAAAATCTTCATCAGCTTCATTTGTGATGGACCGACAACAGGACGGTTACTTCTGGGAAGAAAATGACGATGACCAACAGTTTCTGTGTACCATCTGAGGACGTGTCGACTTAATAAGGCACTGTATGTAGCCTGCAGTGACGCAGCTTCCTTTGGTCGTGTTGAAACATCCCCTGTCAGAAGGAAGCCTGTCACAAGTTGAGTGGTTCCCCGAGACTGAGCAGGAGCTCCTCCATGGCAGGGTCAGCTGCCCAGTTGATTCCACTGCCCAGAATGAGGCCTTGCAGTGTGTGGCGCTGGATCACAATCTTTGTCATCTCACCCTCAAGCTGCTCCTTCTTACTGAAATAATAAACAACAAATCTGCTGCAGTGGACCCTTGGTTGTGCTGGAGCATACCTCAAGGAGTTCTACACTAGTTAACTAATGAATGCATTCATATTAACAATAACAATTGGTTCGTAACATGTTTGTGGAGCTAGTGCCGTTACTGCAGAATATGTGGTTACTAACACACAGTGTGTATGTAAGCCTGTATCAACTCCATCGCAGCCTGTACATGACCGTGAGTTATACAAGCACAACTATATGCCCCACACTACCTCTGGCCCTCCTTGTGTTGGCGAAAGTCATCAGCTTTTTCTTCCAGAAGCTTTTGTCGTTGTCGGATCTGGTTCATTGACCTTCTGTTCTGAGCCTTCATTTCTGAAATAATACAGCATACTCAAATTTTGCAAAATGCTGGTTTATTACTCAAACTAACAATTAAGATATAAAATCTAAATATTTCCTTCCACCAATTATGAATGGCATGAAATAATTGTGACATGTAACATACTTTAGGTTTATTTATATTGGTTACCTATATATATTGCGCAAAAGTGCCAAGTGTGCTTACTAAAAGGATTTGTTATCAGTTATATATATCATTATTATGATTAACATGAAAAAATAACGGCAAATAGAATTCATTGAAACACCTATGTCCTAATTAGAAAATGCTTTGAATTCTGTAAATATATAGTCTTAGGGTCTGTGACATGTTTGAGGATATGAACATTAATCTTGAGATGGGGTATCAAGTTTGATCAGAAATATCATCATATCAGTCATATTATTGTTGAAACATGCCAATTGAGGTTGACCTAACATTTCAGGCAAATTATGGCAAATGTAATGCAATCAAATATCAGCAGAACAGGTGACACCTCCAGGTTTGGAGTACCATTTCACTTATCATGAATGACCTGTGTCTGTTTTGGTTACAACACTTTTTTCTAAACATTGCCTAGGCATTCATAAAAAGTTCTTTAACTAAAGAACAGAGCATGATTCTGCTGCTTTTGATCATTATAAATGTGTACAATTTCTGCTAACCACATTCCTCAGTGTTGATGCAAGTTCATAAATTTGAGGTACACTAATACCGCAGTAGATTTCATGACATTTATTAACCAATCATTACGAGTAAGGGAGAATATGCTAAATTTTAATTATCCAGTAAACAAGCTGAAATGCATTCCGGCATCAGATTAATCTGCACAAGATGCTCACCAAAGTTTTTCTCTCTGAGTGTTTTGAGCTCTGTGTGGAGCATCTCGAGTTCTGCCTCTTCCTTCATAATCTTGGACACAAGGTTGCTCTGTTGCAGCACCATATCCTCCAGCTCTCTGAAATACATAATTCTTCACTACACTTTGCATACTAGCACGATGATAGGAGCATGTTCACAAGGAAAGGGATACAGATTCCCTCTTGGTAATTACAAGCCATAATTCAGGAGACAAACTCTGATTGTTATGTGGGTACGGCAGGTGGAGCATGACGGCATCATGCAGCCCGATGTGGGGACTGGTGGTCTCTTCTTCCTGCACTCCACTAAGTAGTTAGAGTGAGTGAGTTGGGGTTAATGCCACTTGAAACGGTATTCCAGTTATATCGCGGCGTGTCAGTTTAATGTGGGAGGAAAGCCCGAAGTGATGCAGGTCTCAGATGATCACCACTGTAGTGGAACCTAAGAGCACAGGTATGGTGCTGGCAAACCTAGAAACATAATTAGGGTCAACCAGGATTAGAACCTAAAAGCATAGGTTTCTGGTGTGCGCCAGCAACCATGTCCCCTCTGAGCAGGTAGATGCTCCCACAGAGGTCATGCTGCAGCAGTCGGTGCCTCCCCTTTGGGTGCATGCTGTTTTACATCATATGGACAGTGTGAGAGTAAGATAGGTTTTACACAGTACTTCAGTCATATCCCCTTCAGGATAACATGATGCAACTGGCACAGCTCACAAACGTTTATCAATAATGCTTTTATGATGTCTGCTGGTCGGTATTCAGAGTAATTGCAAATGTTACGATAAAGTGTAGGCAACACCATCAACAGTCTCACCCAACCTTGCTTGACCACGGTATAAGGATCTATTCCGAAACGCCTTTACAGTAAACAAATAAGTTGTTATCCATAAATTGTGTCTTCTTTGTTGTCAGTCAACTTATACTTATCCTATTTCTCACTATGTATTTCACGTTCTTTTTTCGATCCTAAGTGGAAACATTCCTAAACAAGAGTCATCAGAAAGTTGACATATCCCCCCGGCAGCTGTCTGTAAAGTAACCACAAGTAAATGTGCAATTCTGTATGTAATGAGTCAAGAGTTGAATGTTCTTAAAGAAGCATACATTGTTTACTCACAAAAGATCCACCATAGTCGCATCCATATGAAATGGAAAGTAAAACAAGTGTGTTTCTGTCGGTTTTTTTATGCAAACAAATGACAAATTACAAGAAACAATAACTAAACAAGCGTATGGTCAACGAAGTCATCTATATCTCCCACCCATTTTAACTTGTTATGGTCCCAAACCAGGTAACTGACCCAACATTTCTCTTAGCCCATGTCAAACTAGCTGCAATGGAAATTCTAAAATAAACATTTCTAAAACTCCTTAATATCAAATGGCACCAGTTCAGTATGTGCTTTATATATAGATATGCAATGTTTGGCAAGGAAATATTTAACAGTTTATTTGTTATACTCCATAAGTGAACCCACCCTATATTAAAACTTAAATCCAACTTGTTGCCATGGAAACGTAAAAAATAAAAATTTCTAAAATTCCTAAATAGCAAAAGACACCAGTTCAGTATGTGCCTGGTAGACATGCAAAGTTTTGTAAGAAAGTATTTAACAGTTTTTCAGTTACCCTCCGGAAACGAACACCACCCTTATAGAACCTAAGTCCAACTTGTTGCCGTGGAAACATAAAAAATAAAAATTCCTAAAATTCCTAAATAGCAAAAGGCACCAGTTCAGTATGTGACTGATAGATCTGCCAAGTTTCGATCAAATACACTGAATTGTTTTCGAGTTCTGCCCCGGGAAGAAGGAAATGATTATGGACGGACGGATGGACGGACGGACGGACGGACGGACGGGCTGATCGCTATATCCCCCCGCATTATATGCCGGGGGGATAACAAAGCTTTCCAGCTTCTAAAAAAACAATCCACCTGAACACACCCAGCATCACTTAGGTCACCTCCCAACAATCTGGGTCATGCATGCACTGAACAACTCATTCTCTTTCTGGAGCTAAAAGGCTTGAGGAATTGTGATGCGGGGATGGAAGTGAGGGCATATAGCAGGTAAGATATTACAAGTATATAAACATACAATTTTTTAAACTTATCTCACACTATGCATTTATCCCACGGTTGGAATGTGGGGTGCAAATCCCTATTGTATAAAGGCAACAACCGGAGGAGACTCACAAGGAAGCTGGAGCTAAATAGTGATCCAGAACAATATTAAGTAACACTGTCTAGTGCCATAAAGACAAAACTTGTGGATAGGGAAGAAACACTCCAAAAAATTGTTGTGACCCGATACGTAAACAAATGAAACACATGAAATCAGGAACATGTGACTATCTACCATGGATGATAGGACAAGCCGTCTTGGCATGCATTGTCAAAACCATCAATCACACTTCAGCTGCTTTCATTCACTTTTGCCCTGAGCCTTATGCAACTTGTCATAGTTCATTCACTTTCTGTTTGGTATATTATAAAGCATGATGCATCATATTTTACTATTTGATTTTATTATATTTTTTTGCAATAGACTGACTTAAAATACAAGGACTACCAATACAAAACAGTTCAAGTTGGGCATCCTAAAAGTAAACCTATTCTATCAGCAGATTCTGGCACAGCCAAGGGATGCAACTCTGCATTTTTTAACATTTGTATACTTATCCTGCATTACTCCTTAATGCATCTACTGCTTACCTTATGACAGAAACATGGCCTTGTGATGGTCCTAAACTGAAGAAAAAGTTGTTTCCAATCAAGTCTACTTCTGTCTGAGCCTCAGACAGAGCTGTTTCTGTCATAAGGAAAGCAGTAAATGCAGGATAAGTAAAAAATTACACAAAGTAGATATGCCTTCTTATTTTCAGGTATTTGGCAACATTCTGTTCAAAATTGACCCAGTATAATGAATCTGATTTGTATTTCCGACTCAAAGGACTTGTTGGTCTGTTAAACATGCTATTCAGGGGCAGCTCCACAAGTCCTCACTTCTTGACTGTGTTGTCCACTGTTGGGCCATCAGGATCAGTTGGGCCAAACAATTCCTGGGAAAGTGCAGTGCCTAGCTGGAGTCTGAAACAGAAATAATATTTCAGGGCATGCCTCATCATCGTAAATAAGTATTCTTCCAAGGTTCATACAGATATGGAACATCAAAATTCAAAGGCCTTTGTCTGTTAATATTTTAAGAATCCGGCAAACTATACTCTTACATTATGCCATCAACAGCAGTATGGTCATCAGAAATTTTCCAACAAGATCGATATTCACACCAAACAAAAGTAAATTAAGTTTCTCTTAAATTCTTCATTGTCTTTGGCACACAAATCTATCACTGTGAAAATTCTCACTCAAACATCCTTGGTTCATATTTTCATATGCTTTAATACTTTGATTAACAAGTAAATGACAGTTTGTTGGTAATTTTCAAGGCTTTTCAAGACGGACATTACAATTCAAGGCCTTTTTTAAAGCATGTATGAACTTGGTAGACTTCCTTTGGAGTGCTAAAACTTGTTTTAAAGCAAACAAATTTGAGAAGAAATTTGCAGATATCTTTTCAGTTTTGAAATGTCTTAAAAACACTCCATTTATTTTAAAGTAAAAATCTAAGAAGCATAATAACATGCATCCTCACTTCACTTACTATTTCTCCCTATCAGCTCTCTCTTACCTTTTCAAAGTGAGTTCCCGCAAGGACAGTTTGGAGGACTCAGACAGCAGCTCCTCTTGTAGCCTACTCATCCTGTTTACAAAAACATTCCACACTTAAACACTGTCAACTGTATCATCCCTTGTTGAACTGTTAATACAATTGTGATAGATTATTTTGGTATAGTGACACCAATAGCTAAAACAAATATACAGTTGGACTGTGGTATCTTGAACCAAGCAGAAGCGTCTTGTAACTTCCAGATATCCGGACATCCATGACGAGGCATGGCCTGCCAGCCAGCCATACTGATCAACTTAAAAACTGAGACTTATTAAGGGCCCCTGATAGAAAGCTATTTAATACATGAAAGAAGAGCTAAGACAGACTCTGAATTATCAAAGCACGAGACATGTAAACACGACAGCATGCCAAACAAGATGGCAGGAGGTACAATACACGTGCTCGTGGAAAGCGCGGAAAAACCTAAAGTAGGCAAAAACATGCTATCGTATGCCCAACGGACCACCCTCGTAAACCAGACTACATTCTACATGACAGAGAACATGTAGGTTATCCAAGGATATGTAAAAGGATAAGCCAAGGATGCTATCTGTTTCTTTAACTGTTGAGCAAATTCACAGACGTCTGTCAATCTATCAATGTGATACTACGTGATGTCACAGCAAGTCACGTGTGGTCAGAAATGAGGGTGCAAGCCACACAACTTGGTAGGTACAACTTGTTCTGTAGCCAGGACCTCTCACAGCTCAGTCTCCTAGGTCTAGAGAGTAGCAGTAGAAGCATTAGTAGTAACGCAGGAAAAGATAAAAGAAATTAACTTTATTTTTCACGAAAAATGTCTTGGACGGATGTGTGTTTGCACTTAATGCCCATGGAATCTGTGGATGTAACTACCGGTAAGTTAGACAATGTTACAAGTGCTCGCTGTTTGCGACTTCATTTCAGTTTTCACAACCTGTACCAAGGAGAATTGATCTCAGCTATGTGAAATGCTTATTTGCGCTTCTCAAAGCTGTTAAATTTTCAAATGCAAACTTCAAGTCAAAGGTACACAAGTCTATAGTGAAGTCAAAGTTGGGACTGAGTCCAAGGTTCTACACAGTGCTATGTATTTGTATCTCAAATTCGAGACAAGCCATCAAATGTATTTGTAATAGTATAGTGAGGCGGTTGGGAACAGAGAATAGGTCTGAGATATCTGATATCATTCAAGGTAGCCGATTTTGAGAACGGGGTCCAACTGTATTTGAATTTCTTACTTCATTTTACATAAAATCTGTATTAAAAGAAAGTGTGGTGAATATCTGCATTATTCAGTTAAACCCTGCACAAAAGATACAGGATGATGTGTGAAAGCAATGAGAGGACGTTTGAAATACTTCTACCTTTCCCTTGCCACTTCAACATCTTTCGTTAGTGGCACATCTGCTTGATCTGAAAAATAAAGAGAACAGCTACTCCAGGTTGGAATCATTGAGAGGCTACAGAATTTTTGCCACCATCCCTTAGCGGAAAGGCGTATATAATATCTTTACCAGTCCAGTTTTCAACTCGACAAGTACTTGCACGTTCTAACATTAGGAAGTAAATCATGTTGCAGCTGTTGTTAGATCATGACACTTGCACTAAAGCATAAAAAGTCGGATCGGGGATCTATTAGGAAAACACATAGCTCTGTGTAGCGACTAGTCAATATCAAGATCGCTTACAGGGCGCAGCACAGAGGTGGTGTTACAAGATATACAACTAAAGTAAAAAGGACTGAATCTTAGCTACTAATATTACTTTAAATAACAGAAAGCATGCACGGCTTGTGACGAGAGTCGTCAGATGGTGACAAATCCCCCACGGCCTCCACAATAGCAAAAGGCACCACTTCAGCCCCTGGTTAATACATGTACCAAGTTTGGTGGAAAAATCTTTCATGGTCTTCAAGTTATGCTCCAGAAACGAAATACTGACAGACGGACGGATGGACATACAGACTGACAAACAAGATGAGTACTATAACGACCCCGCACTAAAAAGAAACGAAACATGTATGACAAACCTGCTTGGATCTGACTGAGTTGGTTAACCAACTGGCCATCTAGCCAGTCCCTGGTTGCGATGATATCATTGACTGTCTCAGCTGGGACAATGTGATTGTCAGTTGAAATAGATTCTTCCTCCACTATGTCCACAGCTATACTGTATGGGAGTGTCTGCTGACTGATGCTCATTCTGGCAATCTGTAATGGGGTAAAGGTTAAGTCCTTATTGTCTCTCAACATATATGCCCAACATGAAAGCAACAGAATCAGTATGAAACAGACTACAGAATTTGCTTCAGTAGTTTTGTCTGACGAGACCAACATAATAATCTGATAATAATCCAGAAAGTCCTAGTTCTGTATTAATATACTATATACATAATGAACCTTAGTGTATCTGTTCTTGAAAAATCCATTTACTTTCAATTTAGTGCACATTGCCTGTACTGATACAACAAAATAAAAAGTGTTGATCCATGAAAACAGGTGCAGCTATCATCTATGGGTCATACTACATTATTAATGGATAAGACATTGTTTTGCACCTCAACAAGTTCAATGGACACAAAGAAAATGTTAGAAGTGTAACGATATGGTGAGGTCGCGATATGATACGAATCACAATACTATGGGTGCAATACAATTTGTACCCCGATACAGTACTTTTCTTTCACAAGTTGATATTCATTCCTTTTGCAGGAGAATCACAACCCTGAATCATTTGTTATTAAATTTGAGAGACCTGCAGGACAGAACATATTGGCCATATGGCACTGTGAATGTAATGCAATTTGTGCCCAACCATGAAATACAAGAGAATCTGCGTAAGCTGGTGGTTGAAAAGTTTCTGTTGTTATTCACATGTTTTTGCACTAAAATAACTTGTGATGAAATGTATCATATAACGCGACACACAAGTTTTAATTTGATGCAGTGTCTCGTGGGCCCTGTATCGCAATACAATACTGTATCACCGTGTTGTTACACCACTATAAATGTACAGAAGCTGCATTTATTCTTTTCATGAACACTTGGTGTAATATATTCAATGACAAGCATGGACGGTTCATAGAATGTTTACCAAGTCATCAGATTTGGTACATTTGTATTACGTCATCACTTCTGTACGATGTCACGGTTGACGACTCAGCTAACCCTTTATCTTACACCTGGTAGTGGTACGAACAGTGCTCTATTTCAGGACAGTAAATCCATTTCTGATATGTATATATTGGTTTTAAAATATGAGAAATACTTCTACATACATGTGCATAATGTTAAAGATGAGAATCAGATCAAAGCAGTCATTTGAGAGTAACACAGATTCTGTAGCTATAGAAACTCAACAATTTGACGTTGAATCTTGGATAGCTGTTGCTTGTGTAGCTTGGATCAGTAAAGGAGAAAAATAAAGAGAAAATGCCTGGCTTAGTAAAATGAGATTGTAAAATGTTCTTGTTTTCTTGTTCGGTTGCGATACACATTTGAAACAAAAAGCAATCATGTCAAACTTAGGTTTTGCGTGTATTTAAAGTGGTAAGTCTGGTATCCATTTGTATTGATGTTGGAAATATTACTTTGTGAATGGTAATTTCTAGTCATATTTGATTGTTTGACAAAGCCAAACGCTAAAAATGCAAAAGACATGTAACATGCGTACACTAGGAATATTAATCAGTTGAAGGGCCTCGATAATTTCAAGGCGGTTCTACACAGTGCACAATCCGATCTGTCAAAAGCTATCCAAATTTGTTGGCCATCCCGCGCCATGTTTTGCAACAGATGAGTCTATAACACCGGAAGAGGTACAGAAAACATACATAAAGATATTTTCATATACTCTTGCGCAAGCTGGTTAAGTAATGATTGTACAAGGATAATATTTTTTTTTCAGAAATAAGACTTACTTGCGTTTAATTGGCGGAAATAACAAATAATATTGAGTTAACGACTACCTTTACCCCAGTACAATATGTGTGTATCCCATCATACTTCCGGTTCCGCTGGCGGCAAGTTCAAAGACGATAGAGAAGGGTTGACTTATGGCGCAAAATTATATGGTGAGCATGTTGTCGTGCTCATCTTCGCGCGAACTTGCTTTGATGAGGTCATAGTGACGTCATACCAGAACTGAGGACCGACCCTCACTTCTACGCAGGTGTGTCTAGTGTCAAGATGGCGGACGTGGCATGGTAAGCGAAAGTGCGAAGATTGATTGTGAACAATTGAAGGTTAATAGTCACCTAACTGTGTGATATTAAATGTCAGAAGTTAAAGGCCGGGGTTCAAACCTATGCAAAGAACTGTCTTTTGATGCAAAGCAGAGTAGTATTCAATTACATTCCAATAAATATCATTGCTTTGACAGTGGCACCAACAAGAACATTTGATTGTCCCTTTGGTATCTGTATCAATACCAACACTTCAACTAGTTAATTTTCATTCTATTTGATGGTTAACCTTTGTTTTCCTAAATTCTTTATAATAGCCTAAAATTCACAAGCCCCTTATAATAATATACCAATCTGTACCTCTCCAACCCATAACCCCCAAACCCCCAAACCCCCAAATGAACCTTGCTTTGTTTTAGCATGTGATCACTTCAGGGACTGACCACTGTTCATTGACTCCAACTATCCATTAATTGGACAGCTCTTGTTTTCTACCACGCCATACTGATTTTCTCTCAAAATGGATCAGGGGCGGCCGGGTAGCCTGGTAGCCTGGTGGTTAAAGCGTTCGCGTCGAAGACCCGGGTTCGTTTCCCGACATGGGTACAATGTGTGAAGCCCATTTCTGGTGTCCCCCTGCCGTGATATTGCTGGAATATTGCTTAAAGCCGCGTAAAACCATACTCACTCACTCACTCACAAGATGGATCAAAGTAAGCGACCAGCTCATTTCACAAATGAAGTACCAAGTGATCATGAAGTCAATGCAGGTATTCTTCAAAAGCTGAAACAGGTGAAAGCTCACCTGAAAGCAGAGACCAGCATGCCTGCTGATAATGCTGATGTTCTGGACTGGGTGTTCAGGGTTTTATGCCATGCACAAATGTTGAGAACGGACGCAAAGAAAAAAATATATACTGCGCCAATCAGGCGCACAATTGTACCGACAGCGCATCAGCGCAGTTATTGGTGTCTGTTATTTCATCCATCATGACTGCTGTCCTAATGATCAATGATTCATTCCAAGCTCTCTAAAATAATTATTAAAACGTACAGTACTCTACATCATTTCATTACTTTACAGGACCACCTACATCTACATTGTAGATATCGCCTTTGTTATTTTCACGTATTTCAATTTAAGGTTGGTTTGTTGTTTAACGCTGCACTCAACAATATTCCAGCTATATAAAGGCGGTCTGTGAATAATCGAGTCTGGACCAGACAATCCAGTGATTATTATCACGAGAATCGTTCCACACAATTGGGATTGATGACATGCATCAACCAAGTCAGCGAGCCTGACCACCCGATCCCGTTAGTCGACCTCTTACAGCAAGCATGGGTTGCTGAAGACCTTTTCTACCCTGGATCTTCACAGGTCTTCAATAAAAGAATGATATTGGATGATAAATAAAATCTTACCCTTGTGTCTTTTGATATCAAATATATCGACACTCGTTGATATATTTGACAGGAATCCCTGTCCAATGAGTTTGAGGCCAGTTAGGGAACATTTTGACATTGACCATAAAGTAGCTGTAGCAGTCTACTGGCTTGCATCCTCTGCAGAGTTCAGGACAGTTGCAAATTTATTTGGAGTTGGGAAATTAACTGTTTGGAAATTTCCTGAGTGATGTCTGTGAAGCCCGTGTTGACACAATGATGTTGAACTATGTCAAATTTCCAAAGGAGGAGGATCTGAAAGCAGTGCTGGATGGCTTTGAATCGTATAGAATATATGCATCTCCTTCCAGTTTCCTTTGCCGTTATTTCTCCACCCTCTGTAGTATTTTCTCCACAACCTTCATTCTTTTTGTCTTCTCTGGGTTCAATTACTAAAAATCTGTACCAGTCTCTCTTGCTTCAGTATCTACTATATCTGTATCATCACATTCGATCAATCTCCGCGTTCTTTTCATGCTTTTAACAACCTTCACAGGTGAGGTGGCTGGCAGATTTCCCAGGATTTCATTCAGTCTGTTGTAAAACTTGCAAAGTTCAGCTGTTCTGTTCAGCTTGTAAGCAACTTGGCTTGTGTAAATGTTTTGAATGATAGCCTGATCTGAGCTAACATGATGAAACAGTTTTGCGTACCTAAGCAAACGTATTTTGCGTTCACATGGCACAAAATACATACTTATAAGTAAATATACTTTTACATGACCTCTTTAGGTCATGTAAACATACTCTAGGAGCAATATTGCATATGTAAGTAAATGCGTTCACATTACCCATTAGCACACCAGGAGTAAATTTACTCCCATATGTATAGATACTCCTCACATGAGTATCAGCTGGCATGTGAACAGGGTATAAGTGTTGCATGACAAGGAGTGTGTCCGAGTACCTTGTACCTTTCCTGACAGGCCTCACTCTTTGTTCCAATGGACAAATCATTTGAACCCTTTTTGTGTTTCGGATCTCAGATAAGAGATTATACCGTGGCACAGGTACTATTAATATCTTTTATGTTTTTATTTTTTTATTACATAAAGCAATCAGTCAATTTTAAAATTCAAAACTATCTTTTAGATATTTCTCTTTGTAGAAACACCTCAACTGCAATGTCGAGAACATCAGAACCTGCTGCAGTGAGGCTTCGGTCACGGAGTCAAGCCAAACTAACCAATCACTTCACAACATTGAAGCACTCATCATCAAATGGGTCAGTCAACATAATGAATACCCCAGAAGTCATCAGCACACCAAGTCAGAATGGAATTTCTCATCTGAGACAGAGGCTAGAAGACCGTTTGGAGGGAAGAGGCAGTGTGGAGGCTGAAGACAACACAAGTCCAGGTCTGGCACGACTCAGGATGACTCCAGGTAATGACACTGTCCGGCAATTGGGGTCCCACACATTTCCATTTGAGAGGAGTGCCATAATTTTCCATTGTTTCATTAGCAACATTTACATGTCCTACAGAAATGTTACTTGACTGGGGTTTTAGACTAGCAGCTAACATCACTGATACATGGTGGTTACAATACAACTGACTTTACAACTACAGTAAACTATGTTTATAATAAACACACTTACCTTCAACTGATGTACATATCAAACTGTATGTTTTGGTCCTGGACATTTGCTGTATATTTTATCATATAAAATTGATGTATATCACAAACATGCTTATAACGGATATAGCAAATTCCCTGCGTACTCTTACTTGTCACCAATCAGCCTTGCAAAACATCTGCGGTTGTTCAAAACGGCAATGAATAATTGAAGGCAAATGATTAACTGGTTTGAGTACTGACACTCATCCTCAATTTACACCCTCAATTAACAATAGCAAAACAGTGATTTCAAGGCCATAGCCTTTGAACATGTTGAAGTGAACATATTGTGTCTATAAAATGCGATGACTATAGGGGGTGGGGAAACTTAATCCAAGACATCTGACAGTTGAAATGCTTTCAATGAACTTCAGGTAATAACAAAATAAATATTAGTGGTCCCTATAGTACACTGTACTCTAATTCTTTCATACAATATACCACTGAAGTGTTGAACTGCTGAAAAAAGCCTTGAGTTTACACTTTCACTATATTATTTTTCCGATTGATGTCTCTTCTCCCATCAGGTCGCATATTAAGGAACAAACAGGAAGTGTTGATAAAGAAGCATGAGGAAGTGCGGCAGCGGGCAGACAAGCTCAGTGTTGGGGGAGGTGTCTCACTCTGGCCACAGATGGAGAGGATGAAGCTGAATTCAGGGGAGACAATTCAGCTCATCCTGACATCACTCGGACTCATGTTCACAGTGGTGTTTACTTTTTATAAGTTCCACGGTAAGCGGTGAGACCCATTGTTATTGAGACACAAAATCCGTAGGCATGAACAAAGTAACACAAAATATCAGGAATAAGGGTTAAACACTAGAAAGGTGGGAAAGAATTTGTCTCAAATGATTCTTTTGACTAAAATGTGTATACACTATGTTGGGTTCAGGTTGTTCCCTGGCAGACTTACAAGCCTACACCGATAAGCTGAACACCTTCTCCAGACATCATGTGATTGGCATTAATGAAGGGCAGGAGAGATTCAAGTCATCTCTCATTTCCTGGCATACAAAGTACAAGACATTACTGGTGAGTTACACTATACTGAATGCAGTTCAACAATTTTTCTAAATATCCAACATTACATTTCAGGGCTTGATTTAGCTATATAAAACTTGGAACAATACAACCTGTTATTGAAAAGTGCATGTAAAAAGAATTCAGTTGTTTGTCTGACTAACACAACATCGATCTGTGATGGTACCATACTATATCACTAATCCCTGTGTTATGTACGTGTAATTCATGACACAGTCATCAGAGATCTGAGATAGTATTTATTTAGACTAGTTAATGCATCTCTGTTTCAACTTTGATAAACTCATGGAACCAGGATGCAACTAGTTTTTCATGTCAACAAGCATCTGGTGCAAGTTAAATCAAGTTCCTTAAATTGAGCACTTCATTTCAAAATCTTAATTTCTTGCAAGTTGGGTACTAATAGTGCCAATCAGTGTTTAAGTAGAAGGTTGATGTCAAGTGTTTTTAATACATGTATGAGAAATATGAACCGAGTGGCTTTCAAAAGTATATTATATACTACTCTAGGGCTGGGTCGGGTAACTCGGGTACTCGGGTCAGGTGGGTCCTGAGTAGGTCCCGGGTACCCATAGGAGTACCCGGACCCGTGGTTAGTCACTTGATATATTGTTTAATGACAAAAACGCATTATAGCTTAGTGGTTACAATACAAGTCGCCAATGTTCGCATTTCTTTTTGACTATGCAGACATTCCTTTTGACTTGTATATGTTTGAGTAAAGATAGAGCTTCAGTGAACGCATGATCTGATTGTTTGATACATGTATCAAAATAGTTTTAGCCATGGCTGCGGTAATTACCAATCAGACATTTTGTTCCCTACTCTTGAGACTTGCAGTGGGTACCCGGGTAGTAAATTTGGACTCGTCCCAGCCCTATACTACTCCAAGGAAGTTAAGTTATTCTTTCAAATAACTATAGTAAATATGTCATGGCATGACGGATTGACTACAGTTATATGAAAGTATTGAGTGGTCCTTAACTTCTTTTAAGTGAATACTTTAGATTATTTATCACATGCTAATGAATAGATGTTGTGCACATCTTTGTGCACATGCATTTGATTTATTATTAATATCCAAATATATCCACAGCTAATTCAGTTGATCATCAATGCACTTAAGGCATGTATAACACTATCAGCCTTTTTAAGATGATTTTAAACATAGTACATATCTTGTCACTAGGACGGCACATTCTGCCATATGGTAGTGAACAAGTTTTTGTCTTAAAATTCAAGATTTACTAAAGATTTGTCTCAAAGTAACCATTTGTGATTATAGAAGAAACTGGTACCTCCACTTTTGAGCCCTTCAGAACACAAAACACTCACGTATGTTACATCCAGACTAGTTTCCAGCTGGGATGTGGGTTTTGGCAGTGCATTTGCTGAAGGACAGGTGGACATATATATTCGTTATACCTGTAAAAGAATCTTGCAATTCCATTGGTTATTCTTTACCACGTGATGGAACAATACATTTCAATGTAGACCCCCAAATCATGTGACTGACACTGATCTTAAAGGGGCACTGATCTAACGCAATTCCCCGGGACTGGTTGTTGCCTTTGTTATTGTTTTTTCCCAGTGAGTACCCGGATGTATAGCAGAAATCTAGACTAGTTCGCGACCTCTGCTGCGCCATTCGTAAGCGCATTAGTCACTTGTATGGGTAGTAATATAGAGGGCGTATGGTCACATTGATCAACAAAATGAAATACAGTTTTGGAGATAATAAGGAAATGTAGGTATCTTTGTGGTTAGCATCGGTAATGGTGACGAAGTTTTGATAAGTCACTTGCTTGGTAATTTTGCGATTTTCGTTTACACTATTTTGACTTGCAACACAAAGTAAATATTTCACCTGAGCATTGCTTTTTGATAGTGTGTATATTATTTACTGTCAAAATGTGTAACATTTTCAAATTTATTCAGCGCCTAAATATTCAGTTATTTAACAAAGTGACTGAAAAACATTTCCATCTGTATTATTATGATCACGAATTCCAAACATTTTGATGTTTAATGTCATCACCAAGAGACTGAAAATGTTACGTTGAAAAGTACATTTCTATGTTGTTTGGCTTCTAATCCTACATAATAATCTGTTGTGATGTTTGTAGGCCCTTTTGATCGCCTTAATCAATCTGGACAGATTTTTTAGTCAAAATGACTGAAATATTTACACATTTTAAAAATTGCCTGAGAGAATTACATTTTACAAATTGACGGTAATATATACACGCTTACAAGGGAAAAGGCCCGTGAAAACAACGTATATCGCGCATTGAAGAATTTCCCAACTAAGACGTAGAGAAACAAGGACGAATCGGTTCAATGCTACAGCAAATGAAGGAAAACAAAATGCAAATACCATAATTACAACCTACCAAATTTATGTGTATAAATTTTAGGCAGCTTCCTTGTTCGAGGAATGTATCCGTGAATATCCACACAAAGGAACAATATCCCATTTGTCTGCAGCTGTACAAAGAAACCTATTCGATGTCACGTGTCTCTGTAACAATCACATATTTTAAAAGATATATATCGTTTCGGGATATTATAACCCGTGTTCGTTTCTCAACTGATCCCTTGGATTGTTTCAGGTGTTTCACTTAGGTGTCAAGTCTCAAGGGTCAGCTGAGAAAGCCCACGTGACAACTATTTTCATAACGTCCACGGTTCCTAAAAAATCCATTGAGTGATAGATAACAATGATCAATCAATCAACGTATTATCAGTTCACCCTTTGAACAAAGTATGTTGTTTTTACATCGGCACTTCACGCAAGGATATGTGTGTGTTCCCTTTGTTTTAGTAAACGTAGACATGTAAACACTCACTTTTGACATATCCACTGTGCAAGATAACAGTGATTAATCAATCAACGTATTTTCTGTTAATCCTTTGATGACTAGGAACGATCCGTTGATTTACAAAAAAAAGTAAATCAACTGATCATTCACCTCTTGCTGGTCTGCCACGTGCATATTACATAACACATATTTCACCTCACTTCAAACCTGGATTTAGATTGAATAATTACCCCAGACACAATAAATGCCAAATGGGAACCTTTGTCAGGTAATCTATGTGGTGCTACCACTAATTGTACCTGTAATAAATTCATTAACTGAGCATCAAGTGAATGACGACAAATACACAAGTGTAGGGTTATGCGAGAAAACGTGGATGACAACAAGGGAGTAGTAATCGTATTATCGACGCAATCCGAAAAACCGAAAATGCTTTCACTGCATGGATACTTTTTTTAGTGTTGACTATAACCAACTGGGGTATTTCCAAATGACGACATCCGATGAGCTCCGCCGTTCTTTTTGTCTGTTAGTTTAGGCTGAAGAAATTAATTAACATGCGCCCTTTGTCGAAATCTTTTTAGATCACGGTTAACAAATCAGTGTTTTTGCAAAAATGCGTAAAACAAATATTGCCTCCAGCCTCCAAGTTTATTTAGCTGTCCTTGCAGACGGTAGCCAAGTCTCTGGTCACGCTCAGTTGCGTTGCGTATCATCCCAGTACTCAATAACAAAAAACAATAACAAAGGCAACAACCAGTCCGGGGAATTGCGTTAGATCAGTGCCCCTTTAAATATTGACTTGTCACATGATGAGTATTGGCCTGTCAAGGTAACGATTTCGTTATATCCAAGCTGCACAAGCGCTGGTAAAACATTGCTAGTGCAGATAACGTTTATTGTCAGGTTGCACCCAGTGCAGCTAACATTTCCCACCACAAGTGAATTGCAGCAGTTTTAAGTGTGTAACTTTCCCATAAAAAATGTTAACTCCTATCGTGTGTATCAGGTTAAAATCAATTAGCTGAAGAAAAAACGTAAACGAGTCTGTGCTCATGCCCATAAACAAGTTATGTTGACCACGCGCTGTGTACACAAACTTGTGACGTTTGGTGGAAGGTGAGATAGGTCACAGTGTCATATGTCATTGGTACAGGCTATGCTAATTAGTTTGTAACTCAGTATTGTGATGTTTCATGCAAGATAATATGTCACTTGTAATGGTGGACAGGTTGAATTTGCCGACACATTTCCCACTGTGTTCATATGGAAAATAATTATAATTTATGAATAAAAATGTCATTTAAAAAGCATCCATAAAAACACTCTTCCAGATATCCAGTAATGTGAGCATTACTCAGGGATGAGAATCTTCCACGGATCTGGGTATTTTACTGACCACAAATTTGTTAAATTCTGATGAACCCCCCATAAACACCCCCAAAATTATGGACCATGCTCCATTGAAAAGACATTTCAGCTGAAAAGGAAAATATTCAATTATTTCCTTATCCTGCGTTACTCCTTAATGCATTTATTGCTTGTTCTTGACAGAGAAAAAGTTTTGGGAAGATCTTGCTTGAAGAAGTTTCAACTAGCTGAGAGGCCAACCCTGTCACACAGCTTCAACGTGATCAAGGGAAGTGATGTCACGGATCCTCACTTACTTTTGTCACATGGAGAGCGAAGATCTATTTTTTTTATCTGCTCGTAAAACTTGTTGAAAACCTCACATGTTTTGCTTCTTTGAGTTGCTATTCTTGTGCTTGTGTTGTGCTTATGGTTTGTTTCTTCATACATTATACAGTCATGCCCCGCTTATACGGACTTCAGATATCCGGAAACCTCCCGGACGATTTTCATTCAAAACGAAATAATTACTATATAAATTTACCCGTATATACGGAAATTCAGTTTCCGGAACGAGATGGTCATTTTCATACACAAAACACTGAAATGCACACAAAATTGTCTCACTTACACGGAAAATACACTTCTGCTGGTGGTAATCCTTCCGCTGGTGGTAATCCTTTGATTCGTGAGAAGTCAATTAACCAAGTGACACTGAGTTGCGTTTGAGACGAGCTTGTTTATTGTACATGTACAGCCAATACAGTCACTCACAAGGAAGCTTGTGCTTGTATAGAGACCTTGATTACATATTACAAGAACACAGGCGATCTGGACAATTTGGAATTATTGTTTAAAATTCAAACCTCAAAATGTGGTAAAGTTCAAACTTCCATGACAGATTTTTTGAAACGTGTATGTCTTGAATAAAGATTGAGTGGATGTATCTGTTTGCTCTGTCATCTGTAATGAGTTGCATAATTGAAGGGAAGTAACTCTTCGAGTAAGAAGCTGGTTTCAGTTATACGGAAATTCGTTTATACGGACGAATTGTGAAATGACGCAAGTGTCCGTATAAACGAGGCACAACTGTATATGTTTTAAGCATTGCATAATGTTTTGAAACCTATTTTGAGTTCTTCTTAAGAACACCAAGGTAATCTGAGGTGTCTTGTTGTTTCAAGTAGCCATCTTTTATATTTTATGTGGCCACCCGGTCTAGAATGAATGTGGTTCACGTGCTGTATCATTTGTTGCATAGTAACCTCGTCCTTGCCCTACCTGCAGGATATTCAGTATGAGGCCTACATAGATGACTGCCTCCTTAATCATTGGGGCATGGTTACTCTACTTTGTGACAGGGACTTCACCCTGCGTCTCCTCCAACAACTGGGATGGAAGATCAACCTCAGGAAGTCACAGTTGACACCATCATTCCACCTTCAATTCAATGGCAGTCTTTTTCAGACCGACCTCGATCTATTCTCTGTACCCAGGGACCAGTGGGCGCATATTCAACTACACCTGGTCCCGGCCCTCCTGAGCCATGTCAGTGGCAAGTCCTCCTGGGCCTCCTAACCTCAGCACAGGACTTGACCTACAGAGGAGGCTCCAACTGAGCCCAGTCCAGATGTTCCTGGCTCCCTACATCAGGCGTAAGGATCGCTCAATCTCCATCATCCTTCTGGATCACCTCCAACCTCATCTCCAGTGGTGGACGCTGGAATCAAAAGTCTTAGACGGCGTCTTCTTGACATGGATTACGACCTCGTTACACACCTCCGCGTTGACACCTCCATTCAGGGATGGGGCGCACATCTAGAGGGACTGGTTGCCTCGGGGCTGTGGTCCACCACTCAGTTCCAGTGGCACATCAACAATCTTGAACTGGAGGTGCTTATTCTGGCTCTCTCCCATTGGAAGCAGACCCTTCGACACGTCCGACTCTCCATTTTGACGGACAACATGACCGTCGTCTGGTGCCTGCGGAACCAGGGAACAATTCACTCAGTTCCTTTAACAGACGTTCACTTCTTCAACATGGTGGATCATGGATCCAATTTCAGACACTCTATCCCGACCAGACAAAATTGCCCCCACAGAGTGGAAGCTCCACCCAGACACCTTTGCTCTCGTTTGTCAGGATCACGGTCACCCCAACATCGACCTGTTCACCACCAGCCAAAACCATCAGATACCTTCATTCATCACTGGTACTGGATCCCCTGGCCTGGGCGGTCGATGCCTTCAGCGTCCCCTGGGAAGGACTTAAAGCGTATGCTTTTCTGCCGCCTTTACTCCTTCCCAGGGTCTCCAAAAGATCAAGTCGAGGCTGAGCCTTGATCTGACTTTGGTCGTGGCGAGATGGCGTGAACTTGGCGAGATAGCCATCGCCAACCCGTCACCACTCCCAGACTGGCCAAACCTAACTCATCCCCACAAAAACCTGGAACTACAGGCCTTGCTCCGCTCATTCCGGCTAGAAGACCAGAATGCAAAGTTTCGTCCACCAGCTTGGGATTTGAACATCGTTCTCATCCTGATGAGAAATGCATCTTTCGAGCCCCTCGACACAGCGTCGTTCTACCATCTGCATAAAAAATGGTCTTCCTCTTGGCACTCCCCACAGCCGCCCGCGTCAGTGAACTACACGTCCTAGACATCATGGATGTCCACTTTGAGCAAGGAACGCCATGCATCTCGGACTGTGCTGGTACTTCATTGCCAAGAATCAACTCTCAGGACAGCCCGATAGATCATTTCTCACCCATTGTGTTGTTACATCCACCGGTCCAAGGAATGCTGGAGAGAACAACAACGCCTCTTTATACTGGTTTCAGCAACCTCGCAAGCGGAAGACAGCCACCACACTATCGCCCTCTGGCTTCATCATTCTCCAGGCCTATGAGGCCACGGGATTGGAGAGCATTATGTTGTTACATCCGTCAGTCCAAGGAATGCCGTAGACAACGACGGCGCCTCTTCATACTGGTGTCAGCGACCTCGCAAGCGGAAGTCAGCCACAACAACATCGCTCTCTGGCTTCATCATTCTCCAGGCTTATGAGGCCGCAGGATTGGACCCTTCAAGCTCCCAACAACTCGCATGAGACCCGGGCGGTCGTCTCCACAATGGCGTCACACAGTAAATTTTCCATATGAGCCATCATGGATGGCTGCTTCTGGTAATCGACACAGTCTTCACCAGTCACTAACTGCAAGATGTCGCTTTTGAGGATGTGCAAGGCATGCACTGTTTTGGTCTGTTAGTAGTGGCCCAGCAGGTCACCACTACCAGACACCACTGACCTCACCTCCTGTCCAGAGCCCGCCTCACGACATCCCTGGCAATAGCCCTGGTAAAGAAGGTTCAATGCCCCATGCATTACGGCTCGGTACGTCGGTCTACAACCTTAACTCGTTTATCGTGTATGGCTGCGTCGTACCTTGACAATCTGCATACTTAACTCCTGTTTTCCCGTCTACAAACTGGTCGATTGCTGCTGACTGCACAGTGGATGATTGGCTGAGGGAATTCTGAGATGAAAGTCCACAGTTGAAGGTTTGCCCTCCACCGATTCTGTCGGATAAAGATGCATTAATGTGACTAAAGAGACCCACCCATCTCAAGTCTGCCTCCCCACTATGCCTTCCGATGTTCCAGTCTTAACAAGTAATGTGAGGATCCGTGATGTCACTTCCCTTGGTCTTGTGGGAGCTGTGTGATAGGGTTGGCCTCTCAACTAGTTGAAACTTCTTCAAGCAAGATCTTCACACAGCTCTTTCTCTCTGTCAAGAACAAGCAGTAAATGTATTAAGTAGTAATGCTGGGTAAGTATACAAATATAAAAAAATATCTAGGATTTTACTAGTTCTTATTCCTGATTACTGGAGATAGTTAATGTGGTAATGAATATATATTCCTCTGCTGATAAAGAATCGTCTGCTGTCAGTGACAGCGATATGATTGTTATGATAGCCCTTTCAGTGAAACTGCTTGCTTAAAATGCAACAAAAGACAATGTTCTAGTAGTAGTTCTATCAGTAATGATATCAGAAAGAAAGTGAAAACTCTCTTTTAGAAATAGCTAGAGAGATGATAGGGACATTATGAAGAAACAGAAAGCTTGATGTACTGTCATACATGTATTTGGCAAAACATTGACAAAAGTAAAAAGTTGAATTCTTTTAGAACTGTCTGCAACTCTTTTAGACTCAAGAAAATAAACTTTCATGAAAAAAATTAGATACACAGGGGCTCTGAATGCAGTGAACTTGCAGAACTTTGTGCCCAAACTAATTAATTCTCAATTACCACTAGAACAGCCAATCATTTGGTTACAATCACAATAAATAGACACATTGGAACTTTTGTTAAAGGTTGATTACTGGATGGCAAGATGTGAGAAGCCATATTCATGATAATATGGTGGTGCAACCTGATTTATTCACTTGGTTGTACCTGGTGCAGGTGGTAGAACAGAATGTAGAACCCTGGTCTGGTACTATCATTTAACAATTCACAGCTAAGTTTTTGTAACGAAACAGGGCCCACAAAGCAATCCTAGCGCTACGATTGTCGTAAATCTATGTTAAAGTGTGGGAGTTATAATCATCTCAGCACTACGATCGCTTTGTGGGACAGGGCCCAGGGTGGTTTAAAGGTTTCATAAACTTTAAAGTGAATTTCGGTATAACAAAACGACTGATAAATCGTGACGTGGTCAATATGTGAAAACAAGGACTCAAGGGCCCATCGCCTGAGGTTGACTGACCGTACCAAGCCTGCAGTAATTATGTCTCCCCCAGAATGGAGGGAGACATATTGTTTTTGGCACGGTTCCCGTCGGCGTTCCCACCGTTTCCGGACCATAACTCAGAAACCGTTTAATATTTTTTCGCAAAACTTTGTATACACATTAACCCAGCACTGAAGTGGTGCCTTTTGCTATTTAGAGATTTTTGACATTTTAATTTTTTCTCGTTTCCATGGAGATAACTTGAACATAGGCTCTGAATGGGGGTAAGCTTTGTTTCCTGACCATAACTCAGAAACCGTTTAATATTTTTTCGCGAAACTTTGTATACACATTAACCCAGCACTGAAGTGGTGCCTTTTGCTATTTAGAGATTTTTGACATTTTTATTTTTTCTCGTTTCCATGGAGATAAGTTGAACATAGGCTCTGAATGGGGGTAAGCTTTGTTTCCAGACCATAACTCAGAAACCGTTTAATATTTTTTCGCGAAACTTTGTATTCACATTAACCCAGCACTGAAGTGGTGCCTTTTTCTATTTAGAGATTTTTGACATTTTTATTTTTTCTCGTTTCCATGGAGATAAGTTGAACATAGGCTCTGAATGGGGGTAAGCTTCGTTTCCGGACCATAACTCGGAAACCGTTTAATATTTTTTCGCGAAACTTTGTATACACATTAACCCAGCACTGAAGTGGTGCCAATTTGTTGTTTGAAATTTCTAGGAGTTCTATTTTTGTCTCTGTTATTTAGTAATGGAGGGTGGGAATAAAGAGATGGGGTTTAACGTGAAGTTAACGAATGAATGGGGGTTAGGGGAGTGGGGGGAGACATATGTTTTTACGAGTAAAAACACTTTCTAGTTAATTGTATAATACTTGTATTTTTAAATATTTGCATTTGAATATTCCTTGTGCTTTTCAGTCTTTGATACACAAGAGGTTTGACATCAACTCTTCGTCTGGCGTGGACATCGTGTTTCTCTGTGGCTACCTGATGGGGCTGGCTGTCTTGATGTACTATCTCGTTGATAATATGTTTGCCAAGAGCAGACTGTCACCAAGAAGAATAAAAAACTGGTGAGTGTTTCAGTTTGTCACTGAGCAACAAAAACTTGCTCCTGTTACTACTTGAAACTCTGATGTTGCCGTGTTAGCATTTTGTGCCATAAAGTCAACTCAATACGAGTAAACAGAGAAATCACCCTGGATCTATGGAAACCATAGGACTGTATTTTATGTATTCTAGGCCTAGCACCACTTCTTTTTATCTGGTACATTGATGAACTATTGAATGATATCATGAACATTGTTGAGGTATTGTTGAAGACAAGCTACACACATGCATTATAGATTTTACTGTCTGCAGATGATGTTGCAATATTTGCAGATGGTGTACATCTGTAAAATACTTAGAAAACAAAAGTTGTTGTTTTCAAGAAAGGTAAAAAGATATCTAAACATGAGAAATGGTTCCCTGATCATGAAAGACTTGAAGTAGTATCATGTCGAAAGTTATTTACAAAAGCATGTGAAGCACTTTCAAGGCAAGTAGATAAATCAATATATTCAGCCAAGGAGTTTATTAGTAAATTTAGAAATATACCTGTTGAATAAGTGTTTAAGATATTTGATGGTAGAATACAGCCAACATAGATGTACTGGAAATGTATATTGCCACAGTATTGAGAAAATCCATACAGAATTCTGCATGTTTGTTCTTGGCAACTATCACCAAATAAAGGCAATTTTAGCAGAAGGTGCTGATATTTGTAAACTATCAATGCAGAGTTGTTTCCTGCAGAATATGTTTGCTTAGACAACCAGATACACAGTACTCAAGATGATGCTGGTACAGGCTTATACACCTTATTAACTCGAGCAATATAAACTGGGCCTCAGGTGTTGCATATCATAGATTTGCATATGCATGGATAGCCCAGGATGTGGGATGTTATATGTTGTAGCAGTATCACGAGGGGTACATGTGGCTTTATGCGTCCCTCGTCATGTTTTACACCACTTGCTGGATAATTATGTGTCCCACTTTAGGTTTTATACCATGACCTGGAGGCGGGTGGTATAAAACTTACGAGGGCCGCATAAAGCCACATGTACCCATCGTGATCCTGCTACAACAAATTTATGTTACCGACATGTTTTAACCTGCCATTGCAGAAGAATAAAAATAAATTCAAAACTGATAGAAAACAGCTGTTTGTTTGAGCTGAGGTTAACTTGTGCTATGTCATGTAACCTTCATTGACCCGGAAAAAGCGTACAGTGTCTTGCTTCTGAGGGATTTATTCTCCTGCTCAGAAATCCACATGGAGCCTGTCTTCTTTGTGGCGGGGTATAAGGGATTTATTCTCCTGCTCAGAATTTATTTCCCTCCCAGGAGGGATGCATTGTATTTTATCAAAATCACATGAACCAATCAAACCTCAATATTTGGACATTTGGAGATATGATAAAAATTATGTTCTTGAAAATGTTGAAGCAATAATTGCTACATGCCTATTCCATCTATAAGATGAATGTAACACTAGAGATGTATTTAACAACTGTTCAATCTATGTGTTTATGCCGGTGTTTAACAAAATTCAGATGTGGAATACATACACTTTATATACAGTTATACAGACATTCTCTTTCAGATTAAATCCTCCTTGGGGCACTTATTGCATTTTCCTGGCTCAAGAAAATCTACATGACATAGTTGTAACCATTTTCCTTAATAAAAATTGTTACCACACAAAAAACTTTGTTTTTGTATGATATACGTCCACCCTTATGGTGCCTCACCCTCCACGGCGCGTCACGCCAAGGGAAGCAACTCTCACCCAAATCACTTTCCTTATGTCATCTGACAAAGACAGACGTGCTGTTTTTTTCAAGACAAAATAAAGACAAGATAATCGTTCGTACAAGAACCATGGCAGACCAAACTGTATGTATGGTACATTTCTTTCATGCAAAGGCGTAATACCTCGCATTGTAAAGTTATAAAGTTGTAATTATGTGACACGTGTACGATACCTTTGAAATGAAGGCCGTCGTAGCGTCCATTTTGTAGTGCCACGTATGATACATGTAACACCAGGGCCATCAAAAACGGCTTCGGTTTTTTAATCTATATCATCGGGCTTTAGCCTACAATCTTTTCCTTTAAATAAACCCAAGGTGGTGTGTTAATTATTTTAAATTACACTTACCTTTTTTACGGGTTTTCTACACCTTCGCGCGTAACACGCCCACTTTGGTGTTATAATTATACTACGACATTGGCTATTAGTATCGCGTTACCAATCGCATTCTAAATTACGCCTTTGCTTCTAGTTACACAATTTATGCACGTATCTTTCCGATCTTTCAATCTCACTGATACACTTTATTACCCTTCCCGCCAAACTAAAAAATTACGGTCTTTTTTACAGACCTTCAAACTGTGTACGGGGTGCTCGGCTTCGATTCCCCCCCAAGACAGGCATGATACTTGCATAAAGTGTTTGGCCGAAGACGGGCATGACGATGGGTCATGCCCGATCTGTGTTGCATTCACACCACGGGCGCAGAAAAAGAGAAATGTGGACCTCTTACACTTTAAGGGTCTATTGAAGGCGGGGGTGGACATTAGATCGGCAAAGACCGCCCCGCCCCCCTCAAAAAAAGTAAGAAAGGGTAAAAAGGCAGCTGAGACTGTCTCCTCCGCTCCCTCCCCGGGGGCCGGGGGAGAAGGCTCTAGGGTCCCCGTCACAATCACTGCACCCTCTCCTGCACCGTCTTTGGCAGACATCTCTGCCTTGTTGAGGTCGCAGATGGCGTCGATGATGGAGGAGGTAAAGTCTCAGCTCCGAGAGGAGTTGCGGACCGAGCCTTCCCCGTTGTCGGCGCCGGACGCGGCTTCGAGACCTTGTGATATGCCCGGCGTCGGCCGAGGCAGGCCACTTGGTCTCGGGGACGAACTCAGACCGGGCTTCGGCGCCAGCCGGAGGGGTGGCGGGCACTGGCCCGTTCACTACCGACGCACAGTTCTCCCTAGCGGAGCCAGACGCCTCTTCCGAGGCCGAGGCTTCCTCTAGCGGATTTCTAGCCCAGAGCCAGGTGGGTTCCCTTGAACCCCCGGCACCTCGGGACCGGGACTCGGCTTCGGGCCGGGTGCAGCCCGGGGATGCGAAGGCCCAGGCCTTCGGGCGTCCCCTTCCGACTTCGTCTGCCTCTTCTCTCGGGGAAGAGTCGATTAATTTCGGCTCGGAATCGAGAGAGGAGGAGTGGATGGAGGAGGGGGGAGACGACTCGGAGACCTCGGGAATATTTTCCTTTGTTTCCTCGTTGAGGCATGTACGGGACAAGATTGTCCAGGTACTGCCTCAGGTGGCTGCGCCCATGCCCCAGTCGGATCCGACTGAGTTCCGCCTTCCGGGGGACGCTTTTGCTCCGAGCAAGGCGCCCCAGGTGCGGCTCCGTATTCTGTCTTCATTGGTGCAAAAAGTCATCAACCCTCTGTTGTCGGGTGCCCGCAGGAAGTTCGACCTGCCCGAACTTATTAAGCGGTACCCGTTAGCAGAGGATGGTGATTTTGAGGTACCGGTGGTGGACGAATGCGTCTGGACCTCCGTTACCCTGGGGGGGTCTTCGACCCCCAACTTGGCTAAGGTCAAGCAGGGCCAGCGGTTGCCACCCTTTCCCGCGTGCGGTACGGAGCTGAAGGCTGCTTACGTTTGCTTCGAGGAGCAATATCGTAATGCATGTCAGCAGCTCCGGGTGTCCGTACACTTCGCTTATCTGTCGGCCGTACAGAGGGAGTTAGCGGGAGAGGGGCCGGCCGACTCTTCGGAGTTGGCCGCGCAACTTACGGAGGTACATAGTCATCTTGCGAGGGACGCTATTCGTAGCTGTGCCTCGCAGATGATGTGCGCAGTCATGGGCATGCGCAGGCTGTGGATGTCGGTATCCAAATACTCGGCTTCCACACGCCAGGATCTACTTGCTTTGCCTTATAAGATGGGTGCCACCCTCTTCCCTGGGGCTCAGCAGGTGGTCCGAGAGGCCGCACAGTTGTATGCCTCCATCAAGGATTCTAAGGCCTTGTTGGAGGTACCATGCGTTAAACCGCGTAAGCGGACCTCTCCACTTGCTTCCTCCTACGCTGACGCGCCGGGTCAGAAGTCTGCACCTGCTTGGAAGCAGCCGCTTCCTTCAGGTAAGGGCGCCGGGAGGAGCAAGAGAGGCAGGGGCCGGGGCAGGGCAGCTGGTCGAGGCCAGCAGCCTTTTCGCGGGGCCGGGAACCCATCGGGTTCCCATTAGCGCCCGAAGTGCCCCGGGCGGACCCACGGTCGCATGTTTTCGAACTGCCTCAAGCCGGATGTCGCCGTAGGCGGCCGACTGGCTCTATTCCTGCAGGAATGGGAGACAGTCACATCCAATCCCTGGACCCTGTCCACTCTAAGGGATGGCCATTTGCCTCGGTGGAAACATCATCTGTCCCCCTTCTCCGGGATAAAGCACACTCCGGTGCCTGCTACCCTGGAGAGGGCGGAATTCCTCCGTGCCGAGGTCGACGCACTTCTTATGAAGGCTGCGATCGAACTGGTTCCCGTGGGACAGGAAAGCGAGGGCTTCTACTCGACATATTTCCTAGTCACCAAAAAAGACGGAGGGTTCAGGCCTATTCTCAATCTGAGAAGGCTGAACAAACTTATAGAGGTACCGTCCTTCAGGATGGAGACACTGCGCTCGGTGATCTCAGCTGTCGAGACCGGAGAATGGCTAACGTCAATAGACCTAAAAGACGCCTATCTCCACGTACCTATACACCCCGAGTTCAAGAAATACCTCAGGTTTTCTTTCGACGGGAGGTGTTGTCAGTTCTGCCATCCGTACCTCGACGACTGGTTACTAAGAGCTCTATCGCAATCCCTGAGTCAGATAGCTACACAACAAGTGATAGATATTCTGATCACTCTAGGGTGGATAGTCAATCTCAAGAAGTCAGATCTGAGCCCTACTCAGAATCTAGTCTTCCTAGGGGCGAATTTCAACACGGTGAGCGGACTTGTATCTCTGTCACAAGATCGCAT